AGCAGGGTGGCCGGCCGCGCGGCGCCCCTTAACTTATGCAGAAAGCAAAATAAGGAGGAAATAATTTGTCGCGCCGATAGCATATTTTTCTGTCGATGCAGACTGGCCGGCGCGGCGGCGCGGCGCTGGTCGGACAGCCGGGGTGTCGAGTGCGCCTTGACACGAGAGCATTATTCAAAAAATTGGTCGTCAAGTCAGGGAGTGGAGTGTTGGTCAGGAGAGTGATATACGGGCCCACTGGTCCCGGCGGCCCGGCCTCTGGCGCGCCATGGCGGCCGCACGCATTCTAAAAGTCGTTCGCACCCGCCGGGATTTGATTGGTGGCTCCAAAGGCCTCGCCGGGCCGGGCCAGTCGATAGCTCGACCGCGAGAGTCGATCGCTCGACCGCGGGGGAGCACAGTGCTTGTGTTCAACCAAGGGAAACCCCAAAAATGTTCTGACACCCAAATTCATAGACAATCTCTAATTTAGATAAAGAAAATTTGAAAATTCATGGAATTTAGTCGAAATTCAAAGATATTCTTCAAAATTTAGTGAAGGTAGTGCTGACATTCACGGAAAATTTGAAAATTCATGGAAATTTCGCTTTAATTCATGGAACTTAATCCAAAATTCACGTGGAATTCAAAGAAAATGTACACCAAAGTTCAAAGCCATTTCTCCTCGCATCAAACTAACAATAACCGTACATTGTTAAAATGTTAAAAAAGGCCGTAAATTTCAAGGAAAAGGGTACGGCTAGACCGTATCTCATGGTGTACAGAACAACTGTACCCATAAACCGTGCTTCCCATAAGAGCCTATGTTATGAAAAACCGTACTCCGTACCCCAAAAGCCGTACTGGCTGAGGTACGGTGGTACCAGGCTAATTGTCTACCAAAGACTGTGCCTGTACCTTTTCCCGTGGATTTTTTCTACAGTGTAGCTGTGAGTGTAATATATTTGGTAAAAATTACGAATCCATCGCCCTCGCAGAGAAGGCGTACCTCAGTTTAGAGGCCAAACCGACAGCAAAGCAAACACAGTGCGAAACTAATGACGAACGCAAGGCGACGCAAGGCGTGGCTGCCAGAAAGACTGCAAAGCACGGCGGACGGCTGAACGACGTGTTCGCCGAGCTTCTAGTGGCTAACGACTCACCTCCTCTCATTCATACACCGCAAAAAAAAAGAAAAACAGACGAGAATAACACGAACCGCACCATGACGGTGGTTGCGCAGCGGCCAGAGCAACTCGCGCAAGGGCGTGTATTCTTTCCCGCGTCTCCCAGTTTCCAGCACGCCATATTTTCGCTGCACGCTCCCCCCTGCCCCTGGAACCCTCTGTGCCCCGACCACGCCAGGCCCCGCCAGGCCGTGCCAGGCCCCGCCAGGCCACGTCAAATATTGAAATGATGGGGGCGAGCGGCGCGCTCGGCCGGCCCAACCGTCTACTTTTCACTCAAGTGCGACAGCGAGAGGGCAGGGCCGGCAGGGCCAAGGCAGGGCTCGGCCACTGGCCAGGTCAGTGCCGTGTGTAAGGCACACCGCGCGGCATAATGCCACGGTAATTTGCTTGTGTTGCCGCGCGGCGCAAAAATGTACGGCAAGAAATCTATTAGCCGCGCCTTATCAGATGGGGAGGTCCCGCCGGCTGCCGGTACGCCCCGCCGGTACGCCCCGCCCCGCCACAATTGTCAGCCCGGCCTGCCTGCCTATGGCTCGGCGCGCGTATTCGGCTCGACTTTGGTCTGCGTGTGGCCGCGCGGGGCGGGGCGGGGCGTGGCGGGGCCCCACACCTTTCATTGCTGCGGTACACGCAGTCCGCGCCGGTACACGGAAGGGCCGCCCGGCCCACAGTGGGCCAGAAGACCGGTGGAGGCGGCCCAAACTCCAGACGCGATTTCAGCTCCGGTGTCGCTAAACAGGACTCGAACTGAACGTGTGACCCCACCAATGGATTCCTCGTTCGGAGAGCAAACCATTGGTGGGGTCACACGTACGATTCAAGTCCCATTTAGCGACTCTGGAGCTCAAAACGCGTCTGGAGTTTTGGCCGCCTCCACCGGTCTTCTGGCCCACTGTGCGGCCGTCCTTGCCCTTAGCGGCGCTGCTTGGCCTGCGGCTTGGCCCCACTGGCATCATTGAAACCCGAAATAGAACTGGGTCGCGGGTGATGGGTTGAAATTAAAGGAAAACTTACCGCCTTGCTTGAATGCAGGTCGGCGTCGGCGCGGCTCGGGGGCGAAACAATGAAAATTAAACTCATCACTATGCAAAAGGTCCTTCCAGTCGTTACACTGGGAAACTAAAGCGCAGTTCAACGTTTCATTCAGACACACAACTACACTTGGAGACCTTACGCCCTTCCTAAAGCGTTCAACTACGCTGCCTACACCGTCCCAAAAAAAAAAAAAAAACATTTTGCACTGCTACACGCATGACATGAACAGACTTTACAGCTAAAATACATCACTCGTAGGACTGAAGCGCAGTTCTTAAGCTTGGCTTCAAACAGAGTTCTCCTCTCCTACGTACCTTAATACAGAAGATTATTTCTTCTCTGCGCTTGACTTCAGGTCGGGGGGAGGGGGCACTCAAGAAATTCGTTGTCGCTGTAGTGCCTTCAATCTCTAGAAGTCTTAAATCTTCCTTTAAAATAGAAGGACAAAAAAGAAGCAAATTTGCTCACGGAGCTTGCGTGCCCACCAAGGGATTGCTCTACGAAGGAGGAATCCGTTGGTGTGATCACACGTTCAGTTCAAGTACCAGTACTCAGAAACTCAAAACGCGCCTAGAGTTTCGGCCGCCTGCGCGGGTCTTCTGGCCCACTGTGCGCGGCCTGCTTGAGGGTTGCGAGGTAATGCCCCTCCACCCCTGGAGCAGCACCGATCCCCGGGGAGGTGGACACGACACCGGTGGAAGTGGCTCGCTATAATGAGCAAAGAGCGACGCCGGCAGAGCGGCAAATCCAAACCGGGTCGCTCACCATTCTTAAGCTCAAACCGTTCTCAGGCAAAAGCGGGCAAAACGACACTTGTTGATGCTTTCTTCGCCACGTGTGTCGCACAATGAGAAACCTGCTTTCTCTTTGCTTTGAGGCTGACGAGTAGAAATAACTCTAGCCAAATTAGTACCCCAAAATTCGTAATGAATTTGTAATTTACTGAAAATATATCGACATTCTTCTCAAAATTGAGAATTTATCGCCAAAAATTTACATGGAAATTCACAGTTACAGTTCACTGTGAACAGGGAATGTGATAATCGAACGGGATGAAATAAGATCCTGCTACACTCTAAATGTTGTACAGTGAAGAAAGATTTTCCACATTATGGTGAAAATGTTCCATGGTGGTGCAGCTGACTTCATAACATGCCATTAAGAATTCACTGTCCCTTAAAGATATTTGAACGTACACTGAGAAAACCTTACAAACTGTTTCAGGCCTTACAAAGCAGAGCAGTTTATTATAACAAAGTATTTTGAGCATACGTAAGCTTACAAAGAAAATCCTTTGTAATTTACGAACTCTTTATTCGTCTAACAAAGCAAATTTGTTTGTACGAATGTATGCTCAAAATACTTCGTAAGGTTTTAAGGGTGTATTTCGTTGGTATTACGGAGAAAATCTCCACCATAATATGTTGGTGAGCCTTTCACCCTAAGTCATTTGCCGTGTACAACTACACTGTGTACAACTACTGTGTACAACTGGACAACACTGTACAACTACACGCTTGATTTCAAGCGTAACCAGATTACGCTTGAAAACAGAGGGTAATGCTACGCTTTAGTTTTACCAGTGTACGCATCAGTTTCACAGCAGCGAAGAGTAACCCGCGCGGTGGACGCAGATGACGCGACCTCGTCCCCGCGACGCTAATTCGCTGTCGCTCGGTCCCCAGTCCCTTGTTCGCCGTGTGCACGTTACCCGAACGCCGGCACGCCCGGCAGGACCCTCACGGGGCCACGCCACGCGGCCCGCCCCGCCTGCAGACTGGTTCCGAGAGTCGTTCTCGTCGCTCTGCCTCTCTCGCACCAACAAGGAACGCCCCATGACTGCGAGAGAGAGGGCCAGAGCGGGCGCAAACGACTCTCGGAATCAGTCTGCTGGTCCGGACTGGTCCGACCCACGAGTTTCCCAACAGAGAAACGCCCTATAATTGTGATTGTTGCACAGACTTTCCCTCCCGCTCCTCCAGTTTACAGACGAAACTTGGCGAGCACAAGTTGAGAATGTAGAGGAAGGCCCCGGCGTTGCGGCAGGGCAGGGACTCGCCCCAGCAGACTGAGAGTCGTTTTCGTCGCTCTGTCTCTCCCACACTTGTAAGGCACGCCCCGCCCCACGACTGCGAGAAAGACAGAGCGACGAAAACGACTCTCGGAATCGGTCTGCCGCACCGCAGCGAGCGCCCCAACCTGTAGGCAGCGTGGACAAGGACAAGGGCCGGGGGCTGCCAACTCGGGTTACAACGATCCTTATGGAAAGCAATTCATATCGCCCGGGGTGGAAAATCAATGCCTTGGACTCGCATTTCGAACTAGGAAAACGAATGTAAGGATAAAGTTGAAAACATTACCCTGACAAGGGGGCAACTCCTTGTGCACTCATGCAGTTGTAAAGTCGAGACTGCCTGTATTAAGGTGAATTGTTTACACTATGGTGCTACAGCTGAGATTATAACATACCATTGCAAACGCACTTAACCTTAAAGATATTTTCACGAATTTCGTTTGTATTCTAGACAAAATCTTCGTTATATGTTGGTGCAGCCTTCCACCATGAGACATTTAGAGTGTGATGTTCTGCGTCCACTAAAGGGCCCAAAACCTCAGGAAGTCTGAAATTTTCATCAATATAGAGAACGAACAAGCAAAATTTCGGGCGTAAAATCGGTTGAAATCTTGCGATATATCTTCCTTTCAGAAATCCTGTGTCCCCCAAACACCAAAAGTGGTTCCACCTCGGCCCACTCGCACCCAAACTAATGCCTTCTCCTCCTCCTTCTGTTGCAGCTTGGACGTCCGGGGCAAGCCCATCGAGGAGGCCACCCACCAGTCCCTGTCGGAGGGCTTCGGGACGCGCGCCTACTTCCGCACCGTGTCCGAGACGGCCCAGCTGGTGGTGAACGACATCCGGAGGCACGACGAGGGCGTGTACCGCTGCAGGGTCGACTTCCGGCACTCGGCGTCGCGCTCTTTCCGGTACAACCTCACCGTCGTAGGTGAGTCCCAACGCGCGTGGATGCGCCTAGCTTGCCATTCTAGTCCATAACCGGAGAGGAAAACGACTCTCGTCTGCTTCTAATGTCCTCGTTACACCGCATACTCCACGCGTGCCTGGGGCTTTGCGCCCCCTCCCTCCTTGCACGGCAGGCGTGAAGCGTGTTGCTGGCTCATGCATCGGGACGCAACAAGCCACAGCCCACACCTCGGCCCACACGCATTTAGGACAAAATGGCCTTTACTGCTGGCTTTCTTTTACTGACACGCGGGTCTTCTTTCCGGAAAAGTTTTCAGGATGGCTCTAAAGACCTTTTCAAATCGTCATCTTTGGATGCGAGAAAAAATTGATAAGATACTGCTAAGAAGTCACGTGTACGCGTTTGGCATTGAAAAGTTTCAAATTTCAAAGTTTTAAGTATTCAAAAAACAAGAACTGAAAGAAAAGACGAAATTCTAAACAGTAAATTGACATGTAGTTTTTTGAGCATAGCTTTGACTGAAATTGAGCAAAACCAGTGCGAAAAAATGGGTCGTTCCACCATACTGTGCTGCAGTGTGCCACAGGTTGGGTGGCATCGCCGAGCGCGGAGTACCTCGTGTGCGCGGACGCCGCGAGGCACGTCATCGGGGTCGCGCGCACACAATAACAACATACCATAACAGCCTCCAGCGTACACGTTTCACACAGACGACGTTCACACACGTAAACACAAACACACGCACACACTGGCGTGTTGCGAGTAAATTTGCTCAGCAGCAGGTGAGTGTTGAAACTGGAGTCGAAGAGTGGTGCGCGTGGAGTGGGTGGGGCCCTCCAGCCTAGGGCTGGCGCGGTCGGCCATTAGGCAGTGAACAGCGCGTTTTGTCGCCCGGTTTCTCTCGCACCCACACGGAACGCCCCGTGAGTTCGACAGGGACAGAGAGATGAAACACAGGGACGCCAGTATCATGGCTGCACTGATTTTCAACGAATATAGGGTCACATTCGTTACAGGGTGAATTGTGACATTCGCCGAGTGTCATCGTGACGACAATAGATTCACTGCACTCAGGGATCTATTCCTGCAACAAAGACGGTCGTAAGGGTTTCAGTTCGGAATTCAATCCTGTCAAAGGGCCCGATGAGTAAATGCCCCGAACCACCGTTCAAAAGCATATTAAAACGTGCTTATTTTTCATGTCGACTTTTAAAAGTGTTGTCACACGACATAAGTATCAACGCAGTCAAGCCTGCAATTCATTAATTTCGATAAATCAAGCTCGCACTTTTAGCCGTTTCAATAGCTGTCAAGGTCACAATTTGATTTTTTTTAATTTTTTTTTTGCAATGACAACGCATGCATATGTGCAAACCTTATGCTCGAAAACCTATACGGAACTTTGTGTTCGCAGCATGCGTTCCAGTTCCTTTTCAAAGTGCCCTATTGCGTTTATTTTTTCGAGAGAGAAATCAGTTTTCCACGACGAAGACAGAAATTCTAGATGGTTTCAAAACCGAAAATAATGAATGTGTTAGGCTATGCACTGCAGGGAGACAAGTTTAGGCGCAACCAATACGGTTCGAGACACGTCCTGGCGTATCAACGCGGTAGATGCGTGGTCCACCGCAGTCAGTCGTAGATCGCAACTTCAAAACAGGAGCTTGAAAATGACACCCTGGTCCAGCCCAGTCCAGTCATCCAGCTCAGAGGGAAATTTCTACTAGGCAAGAGTCGCCTAACAACATCCTACAGGAAAGACTATGTACGGCTCATATGTTCCGCTCGGTAGTCAAGCCTCTGGATGTACAAACTCAGAGTTCACAAAATACACGCAGAGACCAGCGATCGGCTAGACCAAATGTCATTTCTGACTCCCGGAGGGTGTACAAATCAAAGATATTTGTTTGCAATCGAATCGTAGGGCATTTTCCAAATCAAATTCGTACCTGATAAGTTTATTTTTTTGTCGAATCCAATGTGAGTTGAAGTAGAAAAATTCGATGATCATTTGAACTTCATGTCATTTTGTAACTGTTTCGTTTATCTGTTCACCCCAGTTCGGAAACAAGCCACTAGAGATACAACACTTCAAAATATTCGAGAACGAACTCAGCACATTTGGCTCAGGACCGAAGCGAACCTTGCCTAATCCGATACCGGACTGATCGCACATGATTGACTATTTCCGGTCCGAGGCTGCGCTCTCGGTACGATTGAGCGGTGGCCAGGACAGCTAGCAAAAGTCAATCCGGATCATTTTCTTTAATGTCGGTGTTGGACATCACTTACCTCTAGTAGTATCGTCTTCAGTTGTCGGCTGTAACCTGAGGCTCTGCTTCTACGATGGTGAGGACAGTGTCGGAGTCAGCGTGATGACGAGTGGGCGATCCTGGAGACGCTGGTTGGTCCGTGTTCTTCGATTCAGAAGTATCAGCAATTCTTACAGAGACTCGTGACAGGACGTTTGTAGAGACTTTCGTTCTGAAAGAAGAAGATTAGTAAGCATTTTACACTGGTAGTGGACGTGTTAAGAATGTTCATATGCAAGTGGTGGTGAACGCATTGCAAGTCCACGGGTGAGACTCGTCAAGAACTACGATCAGTAGGGGAGGTCTACAACTAATGCAACAGAGATTTCTCTGGAAGATAGAATTTCGGACTTCCATGGCGTTGTTTATTTTCTAGTCTAAAGCCATTTGGATATAATTATAAAAAAACATACTCTTTAACACTATACCGTGTAAGTTTGATCATCCTTCTTATACCTTGACCAATCCACAACTGACTTGTTGCGGAAGAACGGAAATGACCGCGTCAAAAATTGCCACAGGTCGCAGATCAGCAGACATCTCAATAATGTACTGTTTCCGGTCCGAAAATTAATTTGGCCGGCCAAACTGAGGCGTTCGCATTGTTATGATCTAAGAAGAACCCCGTGCTGCTTGGGAAGGAGCAGTCTAAGCGGAAGAGTATGTTACGCGGGATCAGGCAGGCCTGAACCTGCGTAACAACACGTTCCTCGGCTTTGACTGTGGCCGTCAAATTGCACGGAATACGGTAATTCGGAGAAGAGCTGGACCGGAAGTTGAAAAGAAATCTAGAACATCAAGCGCCGGACTTGAATAACAACATTATTCTGCGTGGAACGGCGACGCAGACGCTCATTGTGACGGAATTCGCACGGATTGTTTTTCTTGATTTCTACGCAACTTCCGTTCCAGCTCTTCTCCGAAGTGCCCTTAGTAGCCTTCTATCGTAACGCTCCCTGAACCTGCGTAACATCTTTCGCTCAGACTGTCTAATGCACAGTGAGAAAAAAGTACGGAAAAAGTACGGAACATGTCTGGTCAATAATTTGCCTGGAACGTCCGTACTTGCCAACTACGGAACGTTCCGTACTTTTTTCCTTACCCATTTACATGGGTTCATATGGAGCAAGTACTTAACGTTCCGTACTTTTCTCCGTACCTCCGTACTATATTTTTCTGTACCATTTCCGTACAAAAGTACGGAATTTTTTACAGTGTGCCGAGGCTGTTTCGAAGGTGGGCAGAATTAATTACGTAGTCCCTTTGAAAAGGGTTAATCTCTGTACCCTCTCCTTCGCTAAAAGCGTTTCCTGGGTTTCCCGGGAACTCCCAGAAAATCGTATGTCTTTACACTAGTAGGCTTCCTGAAAAAACGTGGAGTTCCCAGGAAATACCAGAAAACCGACCCGTCTATACCACAGGCTTCCTGAGAAAACCAGGATCCGTTTTCACCGAGAAAGTTCTGGAGCCGCGCCTGGACGTTTGCTCCACTTCAAGCGATATCTTCCCGCGGTAGACCAGGAATGGGACTCGCTTTGAGCTAGAATTAGCAGTTTTCTTGCTGAACGTTTTACTCTGGGAACAGACGATCATTAGCGCTATCTGTAGTTGATGTTCAATCTTTGAATTATTGAAACGTGTTGTCTCTAATTGTTGGCGAACAATAGAGCATAGAAGAAAGGTAATCAAATCATGGAATTCTGTTAAGTTTTCGCAACGAGCTTCTATTTATGTATACGTCAATTAATATTGATAAAATGTTGATTGAGTGATGAGAATGTTTCTGGCGTTTTGACGCATCTCCTATCACCTTCAGTCTAAGCCGTTGAGGCTGGGTCTGATGTTGTGAAAACTTCCTCAGGTGCCGCGTTTCGGCGACTTCCGTCTTGCCCGCAGGCCACGGAATGCTCCGCTCGGAGGCCTGTGGAAGGTCAGACCGAACGTGTCGCCGTTAGTTCGAGTTTAGGATGATAATATCGAGATGAAAGTTGAGGCCGGCTAATATCAATGTCACTGTAAAACGGCTTTGTGCGAATGAGCTCTACAACTCTTGCGTAATTGTGTTTCAGTGCCCCCGGAGCCCCCGGCCGTGCTCGACCAGCGGGGCCGACAACTCAACTCGACGGTGGGGCCCCACAGGGAGGGGGATAATATCTCTCTTACTTGCCGAGTAGTTGGAGGTAAGTTGCCCAGGTATTAGGCCGGGATAAGCCCTTCTGCGTGCGAGCTCGTGTGTCTACGACATTGTTCGATCCACTCCGCCTGAATATTCGCCCCGCCCTGCAGACTGATTCCAAGAGTCGCTCGCGTCGCTCTGTCTCTCTCGCAGACTAAAGCTCAGCGGGTAGGTGCAAGAGAGACAGCGACGGAACCTCCTCTCGGCATTAGTCTGCTGAACGTGCGCAGTGACGCGCTGTGGAGATACGCCCCTATTGAATGTGCCGAGCCGAGGCTGCCACGACTCGGGAACGCCATTAAGCCGAAAGGATGTCTTCGAGCGGGGCCACCGAAACTATGGCCTCAACTTCGACGAGTAATCATATTTCGTCGCTTTGACGACCTATTGGTCTTTTGCCCCGGTGAAATACTCTCTTTACACTGAAAATAGGGTCAGACTTTTGACCCCTATAACGGTCTTACTGAAATGTACGACCGAAAAAGGGTCATTCTGAAATGTAAGACCGAAAAAAGGTCCGACTTCGATGTATGACCGAAAAATGGTCATACTATATAGTGTCACAGGTAAAGGCTGATAAATCCCCAAGTTAAACAGTAGCCAGTTTCGCTGATGTGTGACCCTTTTTTGGTCATAAATTTAAGTACGACCCTTTTTCGGTCATACATTTGTGTATGACCAGGTCATACTTTTTGTATCACCGAAAATCGGTCAGATGTCTTACCCTTTGAATTTCAGTGTATGTAATGGCTATGGTTTCTTCGTATTTTTATACTGAGACTATTGATCAATGCCTTATTTTGAGCCTGGTGTACTTAACCTCAAAAATTTGGGTGATGATTATTTTGCTACCCAAATTCGGGTGATGTAAGTGTAATTACCTTAATTCACGCAGTAAAGGGCGTTTCTTTTACGTACAAGCTGGATAGGATAGGTTAAGGCCACCTAGTCAACGTAATGCCGCATTTCATACTAGACGGGGGTCAAGTGTCCTCCCAACTGCGTACGCATACGATGAACGGCTAGTTTAGAAGTCACGACGGCCCTGCGCCAGACACTTCGGAACCGGAAGTGAAGATCGAGGAGACGAACATGAACCGGAAACAGCACTGGCAATCAACTATCAACTTGTTTCCGGGGTTTGAATTATGATTAATTCTAAGCTCCCCTTAGTTTTTCGAAGGAAATTTAGCCAAACATCATCAATGTGAACGCGATATGCATATCACATGTGACACATGTGACGAATGTTTCCAGCGTATGTTGTTCCTCTTCTTCACTCTGGGACTCTGGCTCTGATTCACTGTGAAAAATTTCCGTACTTTTGTACGGAAATTGTACAGACATGAAAATCTACGGAAGTACGGGAAAAAGTACGGAACGTCCGTACTTGTCCCATAAGAGCTCGTGTGCTTGGGTACGGTAAAATAGTGCAGAAGTTCCGTAGTAGGACTGGTACTGATTGACCAGACATGGTCTGTACTTTTTCTCGCAGTGTATGAGCGTCTATTTGTCGTTCCCCATTTAGACCAGAGTGATGCGACCGTGTCCCGTTACTTATTTTTTTTGTTTTTTTTTTGGAAGAGGCAGTGCGCATCCCGGCCGGGCAAGGCCTGGCCTAGCGGCCTGGCCTCCACAACAATGCCGAGCAACCCGAGCAGAGGTTTTGAGTTATTGCGCGGCTCCGGCAGGCCCCGCCCGATACGGCCATACGGCCATTGTTCTCGCCGGGCCGATATCCCTACACTGCCGCCCAAGACGCCCCCAGCTTCCGCTGCACTGGGAAGCCTTGCAGTGTGGGCGCCGCCGTAAAGCGTGTGAGGCTCCTCGGGACTTCAAAGCATTGATAAGCTGCGACCACCTCACTGCGAAGAGACACTGCTGTCCAAGGGGACGCCTTTGAATTTCAGTGCACCCGTTCTTTGTACTCTACATGGATTTATGCTGAATGTTAATGAATTGCACCCAAAGTCCTGCGAGTGTTAGTCTGAACTTCTCTGGGCTTTGAAGTTGTTCTTTGAATTTCGACCCAATTTCAAGAATTACGAAGAAGTTAAACCAGAATTCAATGTTGTTCATGACTTACGGTGCACAAGTGTTTGGGAGCTACTTGGGTCATTCAGTTTGCTCATCGTAATTTTTTTTTAATTTTTAAAAATAATGATTTTAAAAAAACCATGGCATTTTGAACGGAAAAAATAGAAAGTGGGTAATCTGGTTTCATTGGCAGCCACTTCAAGGCGACTAGGGGTGAATCACTAGTGTACTCATGTGTACAGATTTGCCCGTACTCAGTGTACTCACAAGGTTAAACAGGGCGAAATTCACTAGTTTTTCGACCGATTTGGCGTCGAGTGTCGTTTAAAACGCTAAATTAAGCCTTAAATTGTTTACAAATGTAAAATTTATGAGTAAAGGAAGGTGTACTCACGCGTACTCATGTACTCATGTGTACACCAGAACGCTGAGTTATTCACCCCTCGCTAGGAACACTGGTAAAACAAAGGCATAAAAATTACGTCCTTTAGGGCATAAATACTCTTTTACGCCCTCGCAAGGGCATATTCATTTATCCCCTTTGGGGAAGGGCGTAAATGGTATAGAAATTTCAAGAAAAATTTTTAATCCCCTTTCCCCAAAGGCTTTAACGATTTAGCCCTTTATGGGCGTAAATCGTTTACGCCCTTAAAGGGCAAAATTTTAATCCCTTTTGTTTCACCAGTGACTTTTCGTTAAAATCATACTGTGATCAGACTATGTGCACCCCTTTTTCCATCTCCCGCTAGGATTTGCGACGTACCCAAAGGGTCATGGACGAACGCACCATGCCGGGGGGGCCCTACGCGTACTCTTCCTCCCCATCTCGCGCGGCTCCGCGGCCCCCCTCAACATTTCGCCATCCTGTAAAGGGGGGGGGGGGGGCGATCCCGCCATATCCCCCCTCGACTATTGTTTACCCTCCTGTCAGGCGCGGCCTCCACTTTCCCAAAGTGTGCACCATTTGGGCCCGTGGTTTTGCGCGTGCGTGCTGGAATATGTGCGTGGCCCATGGGCGCGCTGCTTGTCCGCTGCTTTCTGTCTGCGTCCCCCCCCCCTCCCCCCTTTCACCGGAGAGGCCTTCTGCTTGTGCTCGTCCGCACGTCTCTTGCTGCCAGTCCCAACTCACATTCTCGCCCCCCCCCTCTCTTTCCCCGGCCCCGCTGTTGCTGTGTGTGTTTGCCTGGTTCGGGGCCGCCGTGGCGCGCCAGGCCTTGGCGGGGCCGCCATGCCCACTGCGGTTAAGGGGATAAGGCTGCGGCCGTCGGAGCGCCATGCAGTGTCCACTCCGTACCCCGTGCTCGACTTGCGGACCGTTTCGATCGGCGCAACGACGCACTGGAGGACGCACTGAAACAACAACACTCTCAACTAATATGTCCTTTCCTCACAAGTTTTGCAAAACGTTGAGCGTGCTTTCTAAAGCGGGAAATTTGTGCGTGACTACGGTAAAAACGGAACCTGGTTTTCCCAGGAAGCCAATGGCGAAGGCATAGGCGATTTCCAGGAAGTTCCTGGGAGAACCAGGAACCGTTTTTACCGTGAGGTCAAATTTTCGTTGTGATCTTAACCCCAGTTTGTACACGGACAGACCATTTCTTTTTCGTGAGACTTTGTAGGAGTTTCTTAGTTTATGAGAGCGGTTGATACACATGTCGGGTCTTTTCCCGGCGGTGTTTAAACAGTGTTTCTCTAAAACCAGTCTAGCATAGGGTTGAAAGGAAAACCCTGAAAAGATTTGCAAGGTGGCGACTTTCTTTTCACTAATTTTTTTTGTGCGGGGGCAATTACACCCGAATCCTTTTCGCTCTTGAGTAGGTGAAATCTTGCGCTAAATTGGTGGAAATATCGTGAATTTCTTCGAAATCTCGTGAAAAGTCGCGAAATCTCATCAAAATCTGGTGAAAACTCTTTCTTTGAAGAATCCTGTGTAGAGCAGTTGTTCCCTCGAATTTTCGGCTCGGAACATTGCCCGCTCTGTCCCACTCTGCCACTCGCCCCCATTTCGGGTCCATCGGGCGCGAGGCGCGAAGCGAAGGGGGATTGTTGAATGTTTGTCCCGCGCATAATAATGCCCGGCAGGGGATTAATTGGCCGGAATCGTTGGGCAAACCTTTGCGTTGCCTTTGTGTCCGATCCACTGCGAGCGCTGCAGCGCGCGTCGCCGCCCCAAGGCCTTCGGCAGCAATGTCGCGCTTGTTTGTGTACTTGTGTGCGCGACGTCATCAAGCTGTGTGTGTGTGGGGTGTGTGTTGTCTGTTTTTGTTTGTCCCGTCGCCCGGGGTGCACAGTGTAGGGCAGTCGGAGTCGTTTGTCGGTCCTTTTTACTTTGCGTCTCGCGGACGCCTGCTCCCTGTAAAGAAATTTTTCAGGGACGCTTTTCACAACACGGCGCGGCGGTGAATGAAGATCAAAATGGCTCCATATTGCCCCGAGCCTCCGGGGCCTACGCGGGGCCCGCGGGGCCTCAACAGCTCACGGCCGGGGTTAAGGTTAATGGAACAAGTAACCCGGGGACGTAATCCCGATAATACGCGAGACAGACGCGACGCGTCGCGCGTCCTTCCGTGCCTGACCCCGCTCACCTGGTTGCATTGGTGGGGAGGGAGGGGAAGAAACACTTATCGCCTACTTACATGGGCAAAGTATGGGCCCTTTTTTGGGTATATTGCAGGTGATTGGGGTTTCACTGCAAAGCCAGTGGTAAGCTTCCTTGCCACAAATTTTGGGAAACCGTTTCGATTGCCAAAATTTGGCAGCTTTGATCGGAAATTTTCATTTTGGGAAGCCACACGGTGAAAATGGTTCCTGGTTTTCCCAGGAACTCCCTGGAAATCGCCTATGCCTTTACCATTGGATTCCTGGGAAAACCAGGTTACGTTTTTACCGTGCAGGTGGTATTTCCGGGCCAAGCTTGCGAAATTTTGGCATTCAAAACGGCTTGCCAAATTTTTTGCAAGCAAACTT